TTCCAATTGGCTTTGTCCGAATGTACACTTTTTGAAGTTGACAACTAATTGATTCTCTTTGAGCAAAGTCAAAACAGCTCCCAAATGTCTCTTGTGCTCCTCCTCAGTTTTACTATACACCAAAATATCATCAAAAAATACCAAGGTGAATTTACGTAAATATGGTTGTAAAACTTCATTCATTAAAGCCTGAAATCTAGAAGGGGCATTAGTAAGACTCAAAGGCATAACAACAAATTCATAGTGGCCTTCATGAGTTCTAAAAACTATTTTGGAAATGTCTTTTGTTTTCATTCTGATTTGGTGATAACCAGCCTTCAAGTCCAGTTTAGAAAATACTGTTGCACCTTGTAGTTCATCCAACAATTCATCAATAATGGGGATAAGGGATTTATTTGGCAGTGTGATTTTATTTAAGGCATGATAATCCACACAAAACCGCCAGCCACCATCTTTTTTCTTGATAAGGATGATAGGGCTAGAGTAAGGACTAACACTCAGTCGAATGACTCTCGATTGCAACATGTCATCCACTAATTTCTCAATTTCATTTTTTTGATAATGGGGATACTTGTAAGGCCGTAGATTGGGTATGACAGCGTCTTCCTGCAAGATGATTGCATGGTCATGTGTCCGTTGGGGTGGTAAACCTTGTAATTCGGTGAATACTTCTGTATAGTCCTCCAAAACTGGTCGAATCCATAACAGTGTGGCAACACGTGGGTCTTCTGCTTCTGAAATCATGTGGAATGTGATTATAAAACCCTCCCCTTGCTGGGAGAGTGCCTTACACATAAACTTGATAGATGCCGATGCCCTTGAGAGTGTGGGATCCCCTTGGATGATGTGCGTACCATGTGGTGTAGGAACTTTGAGAAGTAACTCTCCAAAGTTGGCCCGGATTTCTCCAAATTGTGCTAGCCATTTCATCCCCAACATAATATCAACTCCACCAAGTTCAAAAACATAAAAGTATTGTTGAATTGTAAGGCCTTAAATGTCCTAGGTTAATTGTTGACAAACCCCTACACATTGAATTTTGTGTCCATCTCCCACCTCGACACTGAAAGAAGGTGTTGCAGCAATGGATAAGCCTTGTTAGTGTGCTAAGGGAGAGGAAATGAAATTGTGAGAGGCTCCACAATCTATCAAAACCAAAACACGTTCAGCCAAATATCCCCACAACTTGATAGTTTTCTTGGATGTGAATCCAGATATATCGTACATGGATAATTGGAGGCTATGGAGTGTTGGTTCCGCTGCCATTTCAATAGTTTGGGCTGATTCCTCGTCGTCCTCTCCTCCCATCAGCATGACATGAAATTGTTTATTTGCACATACATGACCCGAAACAAAATTTTCATCACAACGAAAACATAAAATTTTGGCCATTTTGTCCTGCATTTCCGTGTCTGTAAGGTGGCGAAAGGCTCGCCCACGCGACGTAGTCGCTGGTCTTGATGTCTCAGATGTAGTAGGAGTAGCCGTTGTTTTGGTATTGGAGACCTTATTGTTGTAGTCCCAAGTAACAGTGCAGTTAGAAGGGTAACCTTTGATGAAAGGCTTAGAATGAGTGTCGCAGGAAGTGCCTTTGTCAAGAATGATATTTTTTTCATCAATTTTCTGTGCGAAATCCATCATCTCAGCCAAGGTTGTAACTGGTTGTAATTTTAATTCTACTTTCACTCCATCTTTTAACCCATTGAGAAAAATTCCCTTAAGATAATCTGGTTCTGCACTTCTAAGTGGGCCAACATATTATTCAAACCGATCACGATATTCTTCCACCGAGCCCGTTTGTTTAAGGCTAAGAAGCAATTCATAGGGACTTTGAAGCATTGACGGTTGAAAACACTTAATCAAACCAGCTTTAAAATCTTCCCACGATGGCGAGGGAGAACAAAATTCCCACCATTTATACCAAGTGAATGCTTTTCCTTCCATAGCTATCATTGTAGCCTGTACCTTTTCCTCATCAGTGACACCCCTTAAATCAAAATAGCGTTCTACACGATTAATCCACCCAAAAGCATCTTCACCCTCAAATATGGGAATCGTAAGTTTCCTCCATTTTTCGTCAGAATTGCAGAGATTCTGTCCCATCACAGGGGCACCATAGCCTAGGTTGTCATTTCGAACAGTGAAAACGCGGACAATTTCGAGTAGTTGGTCAATTCGGCGCTGCGACTCATATTTCTCAGTTTCCATCAAATTGCGCATTTCCTGAATTTCTTCTCTGGTTGCGACAAAACCTTCATACACCTTTTCTAAAAATTCCAATCTTGCTTCCATGTTGCGGCATGTGTGGACCATGAATTAGTGCCAAGGATCGTTGTCTCTGTATACCAATGATAGATTCTGAATAGTATGGATAGAGAAGGAAAAAATAATACACACAAACACAATACTTTATTTCAGTTATGCAGGGAATAACTTCCTGCAGAAGGAGTTACAACTGCAACAACAATTATAGATATATAACTAACTATATACAACCTCTAGGATTAGAGAGCCTAGTCTCTTCCAAACCAAACCAAACCAAATCAATCAATAACAAACTGCATGAGACTTTCACATTCGTTATTCTACTTAAATACATTACATTTAACTATATAATTTGGGCTTAATTCACTGGGCCTTGGGCCTACACCTAACATAAACATTAGTAATTGGAGGTCTATTAACACATTCTTGTCAATTGGTGTCACTCCATTCTTCACAAGATCCCAAACGTTTTGATAGCAGAAGACAACCTTCATCTGCTTACACCAATTATCATAATTCTTGCCATTCAAGACGGAGAGATTTGTTAGAAATTGCTCATTCGGATGAGAAGTCATTGTTGTATACTTCTCAAGAATTGCAACCAGTGCTCTAGATACCAAATGTTGGAATTAAACCCCAATCTTGGAGATAATCCGAATCAATCTTGATGAACAAGAGTCAATCTTTCCGATTGATCACGCCTCTTGCTCTTCACCCTTTGCTTGAGTGAATCAACCACACATTGGTTGCAAGATAATTATACTTTACACTTAGATTTGAAGGGATGAAAAATGAAGATAAATTCAAGCATGAGAGAGTAAGAATTTTGGAGGAAGAAGAAGAATGTATTGCACTAACAACTGCAGTGAATTGTATTACAAAAGTTAGTACATAGTGATGAGTTAGTTTCTATTAATAATGAGATTACTTGCACTCCAAGTAATCTCAAAATGACTAGCTCAACTGTTACACGAAAATACTAAGTTCAACTCTGTCGAATTCTAGCAGATTCGACTCTGCTGAAAATACACATTCTTAGACTCTGTCGAAGTAAACTTCTTCGACAACTTTATACAGACTTCGACACTGTCGAATACAATCTTAACACAAAGAATTACTCTCTCCGTTTTTTATTATAAGTCGTTTTTGACTTTTCACACATATTAAGAAATGTAATAATTGTAGTATGAAAAAGAGAAATTACGAAAGATTTTACAAAATTGTCCTTTATTAATGGTATTGGAAAGCAAAAAGAGAAATTATAAAAGATTTTACAATATTGTCCTTTACTAATGGTATTGGAAAGACAAATTTACATAATTGAAAGTAGATAAAATAATAAATATTTAATGGTATAATAGGAAAAATAACATTAATGGTTCATAGGTATTATAAAACGACTTATATTATGGTACAAATTTTTTTCCCAAAGCGACTTATAATAACATACATGACAGCTAATTCCAATTCCATTAGCAGCTGACTACATGACATATTTTACACGTGACTAATTAGACAAAGCATGTGGCTAATTCAAACAGTATCCTTCTTAGATTGTAATTGAGAATGATGGGGGTTGGTTGATTGATTAATACTTTCTTTCCCTAAATATAAACACGCATTTGACAAAAGTTTTGTCCCTAAAGATAAGCCTCTTTTCAAAATAAAACCATAATTAAATTTAGGGAAATGCTAACCAGTGCCCTCAGGGCACTTTTTAAAACTTTAAATAGTAAGTTTTTATAAAAGTATGTGCAATAATGTGTAATAATGTGCATTGAAAATTGAAGTGTTTGAATTTTTTAAAGAATAATTTCTTAATATGGAATGTTTAAATAGTGCCCTGAGGGCACTGGTTAGCAAGACCCTTAAATTTAATACCACTAAGCATCTTGGAATATGAAAAGTCAACAATAACTATATACATATCCAAAGGGTGTCTTAGGTACATCAATATTTAAAATTGACATATTAACTATACTACCAACTTTTCTTAATAAAAGTGAGAAGTGCAATAGGAGCTAACATTTAGGGACAGCGGGAGCATTAATTATTTATAGTTGTGTAATGTCTACCTTGTTAGTTATGATCCAGTTTTCTATAGAATAGAAAGTTGTAATCTACATAGAGGGAAATTGGCAAAATAAAAAATTTCTTGACAACCAAAATTAGCAGATTCCAATTTTTCCTTGCTTTATACTGTGTTATGTTCCCAATTAGCCATAAATGCTTATCTTAATCATATATCATATATGGGCTGGAGATTGACCAACACCAGAGTTGGATTGTCATCTTTTACCCGGCCCACTCACATATCTAACTTGTTAATGCCTTATTTACTCATCCGGGCGGGTTAGCTCGGCCCAATAAACTATCCAGAAAGTACACTTTTCATGAAACCCAATGCATTTTATTGATTGTGTTCTTATATTCGGACACTTACTCATTTGAATGTTTTCTATTTTTTAGCAGTAAATGCATGAAATTCATGTGCTAGGGTGTAATTGAGGATAAACAAGTACATGCTTCGGAAATGAAATATTGTGTCTGTTTCCTGCTTCTTTTTTTGTTAAGTGCTCTTAATATCTTGAGAATGTATTGTGGAGTCAATGACCGTATAGAGTTGTTTAGTTGATTGGATGCTTCATTCCGGGTTCAGTCTTGTATGTTAGCTCCAAACGTTTACATCTAATATTTTTGTTTGTTTTTAATTATCAAATAATGAACATATGCAGTGTTTTCAATCTTCCACAATGTCAGTATTTGTCCTCGAGTTTGAATAATCAGCAACGCAGTGCTGCAGATCCCGCTGAAAGTTGTGATAAAACCGCTACCAAACAGAGGTATGGTTTTATATGAAGATATGTAGTGGTGTTAAATTGTTACCAAAAATCTATTGCTGTTCTACTGACTGATTCTAACTAATTTAATTGTTGACATCCTTGAGGCTTGAACTCTATCACTAAGATTTCTATTGTAACTGTCCATCCTTTTTTACACCGAACTGTCTTCAAAGTTCTATCATCTGTTTGTGATTAGAGATTAAAGATGCTGTATTGCAAATATATTTTCCTTTTAGGGTTGCAGGAGGCACGTTTTAAAGAAAAAGATTGATGAAAGTTAACATTGTTGTCTCATAGTATCTACTAGTATGTTTGTCATTGAAATAGGATTATTCAATCAAACAGAGCCATGAAAGTTAAACTTCAATAATGTTACATCTCTATAAAATGGGGAAAAATTAAGATAAGTATTATTGGAGAAAGAAATCTCATCTTATGCCATGATATTTCCCTTGAGTTATTTGATAGGATCGTACTCAGGAATTAAAAAGAAAGAATAATATATATGTTGTATTGAACCAAATCAGAGCACATATCCTCATACAATAATTCTGATGCAGACATGAAATGCTACCCCTTACAAGATGTTATAAACAGAGAAACATAAAGGAAACTGAAAGATAATATAAACTGTTGAAGTTGTGGTATTTTAGATAAAAGGAGTGAGAACAATAAGAATTTTGAATCTTATTACTATACTTGGTTTGATTTATATTAGCTTGATATAAAAGATTCAATACTAATCCCTCCTATTTATAGGGATACAAGACTCCTAGTCCTAATTAAATAAGATAGACTAAGATACTAGGCGATAACATTAATGATATTATCTTATTCTTATATTGACACTCTATGCCCCAAACCATATCCATTTAGCCAAAAGACTCTAGCAGTTATTGTCCTCCTCTCAAATACTCATTATCATTATTCTATATAAAACTCTCTCCAGTCTTGCATCTCCCCCCACCCGATATAAATGATAATAATGGGTCTAACATTATTCTTTGTCTTTCCAGGGCCAGTTGGAAACCTCCATTTGATAAAGGAAATAAAAAAATGAGCAAGAAGCGCGCTCATGAAGAGGATGATGAATTGGATCCTATGGACCCCAGCTCCTATTCAGATGCTCCTCGTGGTGGCTGGTATGGATATATATTTGCACACTCAAGTACACATTAATTGCTCATTGCTTATTGCTTATTGTAGTGACCAAAATCCTAATTAGTAAACACAAATTTATGATTTATTTCAGGGTGGTGGGTCTGAAAGGTGTGCAGCCAAGAGCAGCTGATACAACAGCAACCGTATGTACATTCTTTTCAGAAGCTCTTATGCATTTTCAACTAAGTGTTCATCCAACCTAATATTCTCAAAAGACTTTTAATCACAAAGTTGGCGACCTACTGTGTGAATGAATTTATGGACATTAGAGTTCATTAAAAAATGTCAATATTGTTTTCATTGCTTCTCCAAATGCATTATTTCTAATTAAAAAGAAAAATTCATAACCAAATTTCATTCCTGCCACCAATACCAACCTAGGTAATCAATAACAGGCCTGGAGCGCCGCTATCGCGGAGGTGTGAGGCGGAAGCTGTTCGCAGTGGTGAGGCGCGGCTGCTCCTGGGGTTTTTGTGGGCCGCGAGAGCGGGAGCGGATTATGGGCCGCTTTTCTGTTTGTCACTTGAAAAATCTAAATTATCCCTTAAAGTTAAAACATTTTAAGAGTTATTTGGGCTTTTCGCTTTCCTTTCAGTTGTAAACTGTTTTAACCTAGCCACCTTTCACCGCGCCGATCGTTTTCTTCAAGGCTTCAAGCATGTCGTTCCCTTTGGAATTCCTTCATACTCCTCCAACCTTCATCTTCCCTCTGCTATCATCTTCCTTTTTCTTTTTCTTTCTTTAACTCATTTCCGCCCTTTTTTTTCTCTCTTATTTTTCATCTTCCCTCTGTTTTTTACTCATTTATTTTTCCCTCATTTCTTTTCATTCATTCTTTCCCGTGTTTTTTTGTCCATTTTGTTCTTTTTTTCTCCTCTGCTTTGTCTTTCATTAGTCTTATTCTTCTTTTTTCTCTTGTTTTCTTTTTCTTCCTTCATGTTTAGTCTCATTGCAACATCTTCTACAACTTTTTGTTCGTGTAATGTTTTGATTAAGACTTGTTGACTCTTGATGTTGATAGAGTATTTTGATTAAGACTAGTGGGTTTTTGAGTATTTTTTTATTGAGGCTTGTGTTTTGATATGTGAATGTTTTATGGGTTGAATTATTTGTTTAATTTCACTGTAAATATATGTTTATTCATGTAAATTTGTCCAAAAAATTATTAAAAAGTGGTCATCCCGCTTTACACTCTCCCACTTTTGGGGTCGTCTATCCGGGATTGACTATCTAGCCACCAACCTAAAAAATAAAAAATGAAGATGTTTCTAGAAGTTACCTAAAAAATGAAAACAAAAGATGTTTCTTGAAGTTATTGCTGCTTTTCAGAAACATAGGAAATGTCATGATTATAGTTTGATCTTTCTCAAAGCTCAACATGATCTATTTCAGGGTCCTCTGTTTCAACAACGACCATATCCATCACCCGGAGCTGTTTTACGAAAGAATGCTGAAATTGCCTCCCAGAAAAAGAAACCAAATTCAAATTTTATTCCCATATCCAAGAGAGGCGATGGGAGTGATGGGCTTGGTGATGCAGACTAATACCATCTTTATCACCTTTGTCGTGTTATTTGTAAGTTAGCTAAGGATGCATTTTGTTGTGAAAACCAGCTTTGCTGTTGTGCAATAATTTTCTGTGGTTTTTACCGGAAAGTATCGATTTGATGCGCAACTGGACATAAGTGGTGTTGATAAACTTGAAAGCCTTCTGGCAAGTGATGGTAAAACTTGCACTTAGCTTTGGTGATTCACGAGCTGACCTGAGAAGCATATGATTTTTCGTGATTGGGAAAGAGAGCACCTTTCAGAATTTTCAATTTTCAATGCTCTTTTCTTTTTGTTAATCTTTGGATTTTCCTGTTAATCATATTTATTCAAGAATCGAAAATTTAACCGGCCACCCCCATTTCATACCTGACACCCTCCATATTTTTAATATCCCTGTTGCTATTTACTTAAAAATTGACCATTTTTCTAATTTTTTCCCACATTTTTCTACCTAAGATTTCAAAATTTCCAATAGTTTGAAATTTTCAATACGCATTATTGCGCAAAATTTGAAAATTTTCGTGTTTACATTTGGAATTTTAAAAAATTCGGTATATATATTATCGAAAATTTGTAAAAATCTGGTACTTTATACTAGAAAATTTGAAAATCTCCAGTGCAGATCATAAACATTTTGACACCACCAATATTGAAAAAAATTTAAAATTTCTGGTAACAAGCAAAAACTTTTGAAAATTTGGAAATTTTACTTGCAATAGAAATTTCCGGTAATAGAACAGGAAGTTCAAAAATGCTTGCTTTGTGCGGTCTGAAACCGACATGGTCATCTACGGATTCGTGTAGGATTGCGCGTAGTTCTTCACCACAGACAAAATATGTTTTCTATGTAACAAGTTAAAATTTAATATTTTCTTTGCGTTATATGATATTAATCCTATTTTTTATGTAATGTAAATGACAAATATTTCAGAGCCGATCTAAAGTATTAGCATAGGCACAACATATTGACAAGGTATTATAGTTGTGATTGTTCGTTCTGATACTGCAAATGACCAGCGAGGTAGGAAGAATATATTGATTATGGGTTGTGAGAGAGGAGAAAATTATAAAAGGAAAAATACATCCGAAAGTAGTAAATCTTCAAATGACATCTATAGTATGAAAGTGAAATGTCCTTTTAGGTTGAGATCTTCGCCAAGTGGTATTGGTTGGAAGGTGATTGTTAGGTGTGAGTTTCACAATCATAAACTATATGAGGATTTAGATGGCCATGACATATTGGGTCGTCTTAAAGATCACGAGAGATAATTTGTGAATGAAATGACGAAGTATAACATGGCTACCCGGTACATAGTTTTTGCCTTGAAAGACAAAGATTCAGAAAATCTCACTAGTGTTACCCAAGTTATAATGCTAGAGCTATGTACAATGCGAGAAAGAGAAGTTTATTGACGAAAATGCAAATGTTGTTGACTCTTATTCATAAAGAAAAGTACATGTGCTGGACAAGAAATAAGAAAGACTCAAATGTTGTTGCTGATATCTTCTGGACACATCCTAATTCAGTGAAGTTGTTGAATATGTTTCACTTGGTGTTGATTTTTGAATGTACATACAAGACCAATAGGTAATGTGCAACTTGATCATACCTTGATACCATTTTGACATACTTTGATTTATCAGATTTTTGATTATTTAAATCATGAACATACAGGTACTGGTTACCACTGCTTGAGATTGTTGGCGTAACGTCAACAAAGTTGACGTTTTCTGTAGGGTTCTCTATTTGGAACATGAAAGGGAGAAAAACTTCACATGAGCACTTGAGAAGCTCAAAGAGTTGTTTTCTTCCGAGAAATTGCTACCTAATGTTGTTGTGATGGACCGAGAACTTGTGCTAATGAATAAAATTTAAGTCGTGTTTCTAAATTCAACACATCTATTATGTTCGTTCCACATTACCAAAAATGTTAGTATGAAGTGTAAGGAGTATATTAAACCAGAAAGACATGAACATGTCATAGATCTATGGAACAACATTATGTATGCTAATAGAGAAACTTGAGTATCTGGAACACTCAAAACATTTTGAAACTCTTTGTGCTGATATACCTTTGTTTGTTAAGCATGTGAATGAAACATGGTTGATACCTTAGAAAGAAAAGTTTGTGGCTGCTTGGACTAACATAGTTACTCATTTAGGAAACACAACAACGAACAGGTACACAAACTTCTTTACGATGTTATTACTAAGCATAATTTATCATGTTGTCTTATTATAGTTTAATTATTGTGATTTAGGGTGGAGTCTGCTCATTGGAGACCGAAAAACATGTTGACTACAAGCCGAAAAGATTTATGCCTAAGTTGGAATGTTGTGAACACCATGCTGAAGTTGCAGTTAAACTCAATCAGAGTGTCGTTTCAAAAAAGTATTGTCAACATTGAGCATTTGTATAACACTCCATTCTATGCCAACTTGCACGATTTTGTTTCAAGGCAGTGTATACAACACATAGGAAAAAAGGTAGAAAGGGTAAAATTTGTTGGTACAAACAAGGATATTTGTGGTTGCTTCATTAGATCTACACATGAGTTACCTTGTGCGTTTCAACTTGCTGGTTTCCAAATACAAGGCTTGCCTGTTCCCTTAGAACCCCAATTAATATTTTTTTTAGAAGAAATTACACATTCAAAAGCATGCTAACGGTCATGACGATAGTGACACAAAACTGGATTTAAAAGCTGAATGTGAAGAGTTGAAGACATATTTCAATTCTTTGGATATTGTAGGCCAGAGGGTATTGAAGAAAAAGTTTGGGAACTCATATATCCTGCCACAACTTCTATGTGTCCACCGCCGGTGAAGTACAAGCCAAAAAGGGGAGCTAAGAAGAGAAGAAAGGGTGAAGAGAGTGATACACATCGTGATCCCTCACAGTGGAAGTATGGTAAGGACTCCTAGGGGAGTCAGACTACAAAGAGATCATGCACAAACCCAACAGGAAGTCAACCTTTTAGTATGTTGTATAAAAGTCAACCGTCAAGTATGTCGGATCAAACTCAAGTATCCTATGTATTTTTTAGGCATCTTTACTTGTCTCAGTTTCTTGCATCTATACATTGATGGAATTGTTGATGTAGGTGACGATGAAAATTGTGATTTTTGGGCTATCACAACCTTACTTCGATGGGGCAAAAAGTCTTGGCTATTGGTCCGGATGCAGTTGGATACTCAAGTTCATCAAAACCCAAAGTTGTTTTTCAAATTGTTCTACGACACAGTTGCTGAAGTTAGGAATTCTTTAATAGTAGAACACTTAGGTGTGCAAGGTAGAGATAAATGGATGTCGATTCCTGATATGGGTTACTCTATTGTAAGTAGGTACATTGTCGACTTTGTCTCCCTGTCACAGAGACTTAACATTACATTTTTCCCTCTTACCATAACTCCAACTATGTATACAAGCAGACATAAAACCATTGTTGTTGGTTTTGTCAACAATAATCATTGAGTTCAGATAAAACTACAACCTGATAGTCCATTACCTTCTGTCACTAATCGTTGGAGACAAAATTGCACTGAAGAAACAAAAGCATGAGAATCGACATATGCAAGACGAATTAGGCACTAGGAGGAAGAACTTAGGAAGTCATCTTAAATTTCTATATAATCTTGTAGACATTATGTATTTATTATATGTGAACTAATTTACGTGGCAAAAATATTGAAATTATTTTTTTTTTGAATTTCTAGACATATATCAAAAATTTCAAAATTTCAAAATTTTCGATACACTGGAAATATTAAATTTTCGAAAGATTTGTCCATTTTACGTGAATACTATATTTCCGGTATAACTTTACCGGAAATTTTAAAATTTCCGATAATTAATATTGAAAATTTAAAAAATTCTAATATGTTGGTCAAATGAAGTTCTGACATGGTAATTTCTGTGAAATTTTCAATATCAACTTGGAAATTTTATATTTTCCCGTAGTTTTTGAAGGGCAAAATTAATTTCGCTTTAAGTGGAAGGTGACAGGTATAACTGAGGGGTGAATTTATTAATTTTTCTCAAAAATAATATTATCATGTAGATGCAATCCTGGCCTTTTTTGCCTTCTTGACATACCTCACTGAGAATTTGGAGAGCTTTTGGTTATGGGTTTTCTGGGATTTATATGTGTTGTGTCTCTTATTTCAAGAATATAGATGTTTATATCTAATTAACATCGTTTTCATGATTGTATTTAATGGCTAGAATCAGCAAACTTGAGGCTGTTTTCGAAGCTTCTTACTCCCTTTGCCATATTGAGTGAATAAGCAAATTTCCCTTCAAATTTGTGAGCATAATTTCAATTACTCCATGAATGTTACCAGTAGCAAATATATCCAAAAAAGTTGTCCTGTCATTAGAAGCTATGTTTTGGCACATTGATCAACATGTATGTAATCTTTTATCAATGCCATATCATTTTTATTTTTTTAATTTTTATTTTAAATTTCATTCTAAATTTGTGCATTTCATGCCAACTCTAGGCTGCCATCTTAGGATTTAATTACGTTCAATAAATGTTTTAATCCGGTTTAGAGACTGCCTGCTCCTCAATTCCAACACCAAACTAGTACCATGTCCATTAAAGTGTCTATCAATACTAAGAATTTGACAAAATCTGTTTTTGTCTCTTATTACTTTTCTACAACCACACTGACACGGAATTTTTGACATTTACTTTTTTAATTTTTATCTCTTTTTTATGAAAACTTTATATTCTAACAATTATCCTCTCACTTTTATATTTTTCAAAATATTTAAATTATATTTTTATAATAAAATATTCTTTTTAGTTTTTTAACTTTACCTCAGATCTAATTTGATCCCTTAAGTTTTAAGAAGACAAAATTGATCTTTTAACTCTTAAAACAAGGCCACGTTAATCCTTTATGTTAGCAACGTTAGTCAAAGTAAAAAATCACTTAAAATAGGGTTCAATTAGCGATCTAGTTGGCACTGATGTGAAAATAACAT